ACATCTTTAGCTTATATACTTAAGTCAAATTTATTTTTAATTCTTGGGCTTTGATAATAAAAGCTGTATTAAAATTGTCTCATGTTCAATTTTTAGAATATGTTTACATTAACTATGAATGAAAGATTCAATGCTGATGGTGGATTTATAGGTGAGAAGATTTTTACTATAACCTGTTTAAAGGCTTTCGAAAGAAAGGCTGGCAACTTTTACTGAATCATGAAGGCAATAGAGTTTTACATCCTACTTTTCTGCACCTGGTCGGGCTAATGAACATAGCAGCGTCATGCAGTGTTCAACTTGAAAACTTCTGCCAGGACAGTTTCATTAGCCTACTCTTTACAGATTTCCAACTAACAAGGGAACGTGAATGTGCATAACCTGTAACTAAATTGAATCAGTTATTTTTGTGCAATCTGATTGGTCCAGAACTAATTTCATAACCAATTAAATCTAGTGAAAAATATGGGCTTCCCGATCATGAGTCATTTGAAATTTTGTAGGCATAATAGAATGGATATTGTATTGTTGTAGGCATAATAGTGTGGATATTGTATTTTTGTAGGCATGATAGAATGGATATTGTTATTTTTGTAGGCATAATAGAATGGATATTGTATTGTTGTAGGCATAATAGTGTGGATATTGTATTTTTGTAGGCATAATAGAATGGATATTGTATTGTTGTAGGCATAATAGTGTGGATATTGTATTTTTGTAGGCATAATAGAATGGATATTGTTTTGATGTAGGCATAATAGAATGGATATTGTAATTTTGTAGGCATAATAGAATGAATATTGTATTTTTGTAGTCATAATAGAATGGATTTTGTATTTTTGTAGGCATAATAGAATGGATATTGTATTGTTGTAGGCATAATAGTGTGGATATTGTATTTTTGTAGGCATAATAAAATGGATAATGTATTTTTGTAGTCATAATAGAATGGATAATGTATTTTTGTAGGCATAATAGAATGGATATTGTTTTGATGTAGGCATAATAGAATGGATATTGTAATTTTGTAGGCATAATAGAATGGATATTGTATTTTTGTAGTCATAATAGAATGGATTTTGTATTTTTGTAGGCATAATAGAATGGATATTGTATTGTTGTAGGCATAATAGTGTGGATTTTGTATTTTTGTAGGCATAATAGAATGGATATTGTATTGTTGTAGGCATAATAGTGTGGATATTGTATTTTTGTAGGCATAATAGAATGGATATTGTTTTGATGTAGGCATAATAGAATGGATATTGTAATTTTGTAGGCATAATAGAATGGATATTGTATTTTTGTAGTCATAATAGAATGGATTTTGTATTTTTGTAGTCATAATAGAATGGATATTGTTATTTTTGTAGGCATAATAGAATGGATATTGTATTGTTGTAGGCATAATAGAATGGATATTGTTTTGATGTAGGCATAATAGAATGGATATTGTATTGTTGTAGGCATAATAGTGTGGATATTGTATTTTTGTAGGCATAATAGTGTGGATATTGTATTTTTGTAGGCATAATAGAATGGATATTGTTTTGATGTAGGCATAATAGAATGGATATTGTTTTGATGTAGGCATAATAGAATGGATATTGTTATCTTTGTAGGCATAATAGAATGGATATTGGGGATAAGAACAGGATCATGGATGGGATTTCTAACTAGATCAGTTTTGGAGAATGCTACATCCTATGAGGAAGCCAGACTAATGTTAACTAAAGAAGAAATGTTGGCTCCAGCTTACTTTATATTAGGTGGACTAAAACCAGGAGAGGTTAATTTAATTATTATTAATAGATAATTACTAAGTTTTTTGGATTTATCAGATTATATAAGGATCCTGTCATTTATGACACCAGTTATATCTACTGATGAATATATGTTCTTATTGACCAAGTTTGAAATTTTATGTTCATTCTAAGACGTAGTATCACTTTAAAGTGTTTGCTCTATTTCTAGGCCTGTGTTATAACTAGAGCTAGAGAATCTACTATAGATGTTTGGGAAATGCCCTCTGCTGGGGGATGGTATATCCTAGAAACTAACTATGACCATTGGAAGGCTCCATTATTTCTAGATGACAGACGGACACCAGCTAATAATTGTATGAAAAACATGACTCAAAGTGTAAGAAGACAAAATGTTTTGTTAGAGAAGCAAAAGAAAAAATATCTATAAACATCTAGAAACATAAACACAAGCAACAAAAAGACTGTGAACAATATGGCTGCAGATGTAACTACAGGGCTATTTTTGGCTGTATTTACTCAAGTAAATACAGCCAAAAATAGCCCTATAGTTACATCTGCAGCCAGATAGTCAGATCTGAATCAGTTATTTCAAGTAAACTTGTGTTCACAGGTTCTAATTTGGAGATATTTTAGGTACCTTTTTGGTAAAGAACACAGAGGGCTCTGTAGTTTTTGCAAACATATAATCCAATCAAATTACTGCATTTACAAACTACTGTAATGCAAGAAAAAAATGTCCAATGATGTCAAGGTATTAGACATAGTTCGTAATGCCTTGACATTGTGAATCTGGCAAAATACGTTCAACTGGAAACACGATAACTCTGCTTTTCTGTGCTTTACTCAAATAACAAGGCCAAGCTTGGCAATATAAAAGAACACAATTTCCCTAGTTCTAGGTTTATTATTTATTTTGAATCTTTTTATGTTTTAGGGTGTATCAATAAAGGGTTTATTTAATGTACTCAATTCAAAACCTGTCTTAAATAAGGTGAGATCTTCTAACTTTATTCAAATGTTCCAATTATCTTCAGAAATGTGTTAATTTAGATCAATGGACTTGGAAATTGTTATTTCGCTTGGAAGCTCAATATGATCACTCGAGATTTCATGTACCCACAAATAAGGTAAAACTGTTGAAATGTTATGGTCCGATTTTAGAGTATTTATCTTTAACAATTATTCCTTAAATTTAGAAGACAATACGATCGATAATTAAATCAAAATATTTTTGATTAAAAGTACTTCATTACCATGAATTAACCTCTGCCTCTGAGGATAAATCTACAAACTTTGTGCTCAAGAAATGACCTCTATATATAAGCACTATATTATTGAAATATCAATGCTTTCCTTTTTGTGTTTTCAAAAATGTGTGTTAACTAAAGCAAAACAATATTTTTCAGCTTACTACATACACAGCTTTGATGCAGGTTGATACAGGACATTTGGAAACTTACATAGCTAACTGTACAGATCCTTGTTTTCCTTGGTAACCATCACTGTCAACTTCTCTTGGTTTTTGGTCAAGGAGTAAAAACGTCAACTTTAGCTATATGCTGTACTTTCAAAATAAAAATTTGATGATATACAATTAAATAAAATTGTTTTGATTATTTTTGGCAATCAACAAAATGAAATTAATGTGATTTTCAATTTTCTTATTTGTTTTTTTCACATCATTTAGATAATAGAGCACAATTAGGTTTTTTTCTGATATTCTTTTGTCTCTAGAGTAATCTAACAAGTTTTCTACCACAGTCCTGTTTTAATGACTTTAATTTAAACCAATCAACATGTTTCATCCAGGAGCATTTTTTTAATAACACGGAAGATACATTGAAGATAGTGATTGTGATTAATATTTATTATGATGTGAAACATGAATTCAGTTTTAACTGTAAATAATTTTAATCTCTCTAAGTGCTGCAGGGAACTGAAATGGAATTTTAACAGACGAAAAGGGAATATTAAGTAAAAAAAACCTTTAGTACTGTAACTATGTGCATTTGAATATTATTGATATATGTTAAAAATTTTGATTTATTGTTATTTTTATATTATTGTTGCCACCTTTAGTTATATTTTTAGTTTTGTATATATTGAAAACAATGTTAAAAACTCATTTTTTATGACAAACAGTTACTTTTAAGTTTTAAATGATTTAATTTTTATTTGAATATTATTTTGAAATTATTTAATGTATATCGTCAGATGGTATTATATTTTTATCTGTTTGAGGAATTTGCTGCTTAATTTTGAACCATTCTACTTTTTATACGCCCACACGTAAGATGGGCGTATATTGTAATCACCCCGTCGGTCCGTCGGTCCGTTCACATTTGGCTCGTGCTCACTCTACAGGCTACAATTGTTTACAGATTCTTTTGATTTTTAATTTGTATGTCAATGTCATTATGAAGATGATCCCTATCGATTTTCGCAATGATCGGATAATATTTCACCAAAATATCGTGTCTGACTTGACGTTCACTCTATTAGCTATATTGTTAAACCCTGTAGTCACTAAAGACTGTTTAATCATTTCTGACAGCTGCCAGTGGGCGTATGTTACCTTGCCTGGCAAGCTATCTTTTAGTTTTCCTATAGGCAGGAAATTCAGTATGAACTCTGACTGAATATTTACAGAGATGTTTCCCTATGATCTGTTTTGGACTGTTGTCATCACAGAAATGTCTTGGAATTTTGAATGGTGTGAAATTAATCAGTTAATTCCTTCTTTTAATATTACAAGGCCACAGAACTGCTGTTCCTTGTTGCGTAATTTATAAATTTATTTACATTCTTGTTGATTTTATACTGCAGTCTTTGATTTTAATCAATTTTTTTATAAGCTATCGTGTCTTATTATATCCAGTTAGAGCTATTCTTCCTCTACTAAAATATTTTTTGGATTTGTGGCTTATAAACTACAATTTGCTTTCATAATTTCAAGAGTTTGCTGCTAATAATATCTCAGTAAAAATAAAGACCAATCAAATTTTGTTTCTGTCCACAAAGTACAAAAATTGTATCAACATTATTGTTTAAATTAACAGCAGATATGTTGGGCTGAATGCACAAATTAAGTGGCCTCATTATAGAGGTTCTACTGTAATGTGTTGGCTGGTTTTGCTTGTCATAAAATATGGCCGCCTATATCAAAAACATGTTTACGGCAATATTCAAGAAGAAATACCTTGTATACTTGATTGATTTATTGAATTAGAAATCAATTTATAGACGATAATGAGACAAAAGACTAAACTTGTTTTAAAATATTTTATACACCGCACAATTCTTTATTTATTATTGTCTTAAGCGACTATATAATGTAAACAAGACCTTTGACCAGAGAGGAATAAACGTTTTTTGAGGTTGAGATATACGTGAGTGTTTTATAGAAATGTACTGTATGTCAGCTATTTCCACGATTGACACAAGACTGACTAATGGCTGCAGTATAGCTAGAACGATCTTTGCAATAAATCATTTTGTAACAAGTCAAAATACTCAAAGATTTTACTTTATCATTTTATGGAAAACTGAAACTGCCAAAATGTAGTTGACATACATTTTGAGTAAAACTGCAAATGTCATGATTATATTGATAGCCAAGTGGGTAGGACATACAGAAATAATGATATTAGGTTCAATGCAATATGCGATAGTCAATATTTTGCCAGATGACATGTAACTGTAAGCCTGTCAGTTAGTGTGAAAAGAGCGAGCATGCCATGCATTGTAAATGATGCATGTCAAAGTAGACATAACTTATAAGCTTACTTCAAGGAGTTCAAATTATATAAAGAGCATACAAGCCTTTCCCTCTTACAGGGTTCTCCTTCAAGAAAATCTGAAAAAATGAATTGATTTGATGCATTCTGACACGTTTTGGGGAAAAAGCGTTAAATCTTGTGTGTGTACTAATGGGGATATAGACCATTTATCTAGGGGAAAGCCTTTTTAAGAATTAGAAGCTCTCAAACGCTATTTGAGACAAAACATTTCCTGATGAAATATCTTTAGATTATAATGGAGACTGACAAAGAAATAATTGATTTTGATTAAATTGGTGACACATCAAACTTGTCCCACTTGAGGATATGCCCCTGTGGTTGAAAACCTACACTCTGAAACCATTGTTTTTATCCTGGTAAAATATGCAATTATCACGTCACTTTGTTTATAAAACAGAATTATAGAAGAACAATTTTAAAATGGCAGCAAGGCAGCTCCCTAAAACAATGAGAAAAATTGTAGCATTCCAGTTCAGTCCTAAATTCAGAGAGTCAACAAAGATAACAGAAGTACCGGTACCAACTCCTGGACCTTCAGAGGTGTTAGTCAGAAATAGGTATGTTACCCCATTTAAAGATGTCAAAGATGGTAGTTAACTTAATAAATTTGGCCTCATGACAAGAAACTTTTGATTAATTGGTGTTTTTAATGAATCATCATTCATTCTTAATCATCAAAAAAAGACTTTTTGACCTTTCTTGATCGGTCATTGGAATTGGAATTATGAATTAATTATGGACATGTGAGACAAACTTGTATTTTTCCAAGTCATTAGAACACCTCTACTTTCTATTCATATAAGTGTTAGCATTTTCATTTTCATAAATGAAAATAAGGGAACCCATCTTGATTAACAGCAATATTGGGTATAGCCCAAATACAATTCAATTCCTGTCAGGCAGCATGTACATGTCTGGATAAACAAAAAAGACTTTTTGACCTTTCTTGAAAGGTCACTCATTAGAATTCTGCTGGTAATTCTCTTCTAATTTAGCTAATTATGAATTAATTATGGACATGTGAGACAAACTGGTATTATTCCAAGTCATTCGAACACTTCTACTTTCTATTTGTATAAGTATTAGCATTTTCATTTTCATAAAAGAAAATAAGGGAACCCATCTTTAATTGTTCCTATGTTAGAAAAAATAAATTATATTTTTTTTTTTTGTGTAAATGATATAGAATGATAAACTGAATATATATGCTTCCTGGCCCTGAATTCTCGAAACGATCTTAGCGTTAGGATGTCCTAGAATCAATGTTAGAAGATAAGACCTAAGACATCCTAGCGCTAAGATCGTTTCCGGAATATGGGGCCTGAGTTTTGATAATAAGATAAATCATTTGCTTTCAAATGTAGAACATGGAATGACGCAATCATGATGGCCTTGAATTGTGACAGTGATTGAACTTGGAACTCCCAAATGATAGGATAGAGATCGTGTTAAATTGTAGTTGTATATTATAGATATGTTGGTATAAATGCCTCTGATATAAACTATACTGCTGGACGATATGATCAAACATTAAAACTACCTTTTGATACAGGTTTTGAGGTAAGCTTTAACTTATCTTATTGGTAATAATAAATAATAATAAATAATAATAAATAAATCACGATTCAGTTTACATGGTATCACGCCATTTTGATTGGATAACAGCGGTCACGTGAATTCATTTTATATCTGTGTAAACCGAATGTAAATCTAAGCTCCGCCCCTTATCAGACTACTTTTATCATTGAGTCTGATTGACGTGGCCACTAACTACACAGCGTCTAGTAAATCTAGTAATAAATCAAAATAAATCAAAATAAATCATAATAAATCATCATCATCATCATCATCATCATCATCTAGGCTAAAAAGCCTTTCTTACATCATATAATTTCTGTTATGTCAGGATTTTGTACCATCCCAATGTAATTATCATCATCATCACCATCATCATCATCATCATCTATTAGGCTAAAAGGCCTTTCTTACATCATATAATTTTTGTTGTGTCAGGATTTTGTACCATCCCAATCGAATCATCATCATCATCATCTATTAGGCTAAAAAACCTTTCTTGCATCTTATAATTTCTGTTGTGTCAGGATTTTGTACCATCCCAATCTAATCATCATCATCATCATCATCTATTAGGCTAAAAAGCCTTTCTTACATCATATAATTTCTGTTGTACCATCCCAATCTAATCATCTGTAATCTAACATCTTCTTTGTTACAGTTATTGGTTTCAAGTAATTTTCTTTTATCTATCCTCTGTTGTTATTATATGCACATCTGATCTTTAATCATGATTGTTATTGTTATATCCCTTTATGGCTTCTATTGTTTTATCTATATAATATCTTGTGTTGTTTGGTTGTTAATTACAATCCAACTACCAACTACTACGACCAAGTTGTTAATTACTTGATAATGTTACCTGTATGTGTTTCGAAACCTAGTATGTAATAAACCTAGAAGTAGTATATCTATATATCTTGTGTTCTTAATATTTACCTTCCTGCTTCTATATGTCTTACAAAAATGATCTCAATCGAATGCTTGATGTGTCTTGTTTTTTATATTTTGATAGGGTATTGGTGAAGTAGTTGGAGTAGGAGATGGCAGTAAATTGAAAATAGGTCAAACTGTTATTTATTTAAATTATGGAGCTTTTTCAGAATATAAGGTATCTTCAGTAATTTTTAGTCATCCTATGAAAATACTTGGTTTTGCTGGATTGAGTAGTTAGGGAAACTGTTTTCTCTAATATACTGATTCATACCAGAGTCGTAAGGCATAGCCAATAAACTAGATCTTGAAGTCTTGTACATAGCTATTATTAGTTGTAAACAAGAAAGGGCATGATATTCTTACGAATCTCTGCAATTGGACTTAATGAGAGTCCACAATCATTACTGATAATGTTTTTTGTGTTATTTTTTGCAGACAGTTAAAAATGTGATACCATTACCTAGCTTAAAGGCTGAATTTTTACCATTAATATTAAGTGGATTGACTGCATCTATTAGTCTAGATAAGGTATGTTTTAGGTGCTATTGTCATAGAATGTTATGAGGGGTAGGGTATAAATTAAACGACATAGCTTACATCTTTAAACTTGGCCAAAATGTGTTTATATTCATCTGTGGACTTGGCTGGTGTCATAACTATACAACAGAGGTCCTCCCCTCTATAATACGATATATCCATAAAACTACATTATTGAACAAGTGGTTGCTTAGCAAGATACGCCCACTTTCAAAGTCTCTATTGAGTTCACAAAAAACAAATTTTGATGCGTCAAGGGCAATAACTCAAAAACATTCATCGAAAGATAGCCAAATTAGAACTTGTCTAAGATCTCATCACTATAAATTATCACATTCAATTTCATTTAAATCGTAGTCTCTATTGTGTTCACAAACACATTTTGACGCATTTTTCCTAAGTCAAGGGCAATAACTCAAAAAACCATTCATCGAAAGATAGCCAAATTAGAACTTGTCCAAGATCTCATCATTATAAATATTCACACCAAATTTCATTTAAATCGGATGAAAACTGTAGCCTCTATTGTGTTCGCAAACCAATTGTAGACTGACGGACCGAGACGGCGACAATATACAACCACATTATAATGTGGGCGTATAAAAGCGCTTATTATATTTGAAATGTTTGTTGATAATTCCAAAGTTTAATGGATTTATCAAGAGATTTTGATAGGATAGTTATGACACCGGGTAAGATCACTGATGAATTTATATTTTTAATATCCAGGCCCCGTATTCTCCAAACGATCTTAGAGCAAGGATGTCCTAGAATCAATGTTAAAAAATAAGAACCTAGGACATCCTAGTGCTAAAATCAATTCGAGAATACATGGCCTGGTTTGGGACTTAAATTTTATATTCATTTTAACAGATGATAGTTCTTTGATATTGCTAACTGAAATCAACTGTGCAAAAAAATGTGTTATGATTGTTGTAGGTTGGTGAAATAAAATCTGGCGAAACAGTACTAGTTACAGGTAAACAGACTTATATCTCAAAATGTTGTATAAACAGTAGCTTGAACTTTCCTGGCAACACTTCATAGATAGACAGAAAATTATCAAATAATGCGAAGATTGAGGATGTCACAGACATATTTGAGCTTGAATGACAAGCAGGTTTTTCTTGTATAGGACATGTCCTCAAAATGTCCTCATGGGTCCATTGGGTAGCAGATGTGTTTTAGAAGGACATATTTAGAAAATGTCCTCATGGGACCATTGGGTAGCAGACATGTTTTAGATTTGGAAGGACATATTTAGAAAATGTCCTCATGGGTCCATTGGGTGACAGAAATGTTTTAACTTTGGAAGAATTGTCTAGAAAATGTCCTGCCAGGCATATTGGTTAGCAGACATGTTTTAGATTGGGAAGAACATGTTAAGAAAATGTCCTTATGGATCCATTGGGTCGCAGATTAATTGGAAGAAGTGTCTTGAAAATGTCCTAATGGGCTCACTGAGTGACTTTTTGATACACAGTGAAAATAGATCAAATTACCATCTTAATTGGGGGATTAATTAATCAGGCAATGATAATATTATTATGTGATGAGATTAATGCGTGTTACCGGCAATTAAAATGCAAGTAATGATAGATATGTTGATATATGGTAATATATGAGAATTTGGACATTGAAAATGGTAGGTCCTGTGAAAATTTGGTCAAGAAAAAACCAAAAAACCGGTAGAATTGGATATCCTGTCGGTAGAGCAGTAGACAACATGCAAAAGCGGTAGAAACCCAACAACATCGGTAGATTACACATGTATGGATACACTCCATGTGTCAGCATGTGTTGGTATGTGTTGGTATGTGCTACTAACTTGTGAAGGATAAATGCTAAGCACTGCTTTTACAAATGAATTTTACATCTTGATTTTTATGACTTTATTTCCAGCTGCTGCAGGAGGAACTGGTCAATTTGCTGTGAGTATTTAAAAGACATATTGATCGCTTCACTCAAATTCAGTTATCTGTATCACTTTTCATAATTAAAATTCAAAGTCTGCTTCTTCCACAAATAATGAAATTAACTTATTCTTTCAATGTGTTAATAGCAATCTCACATACAGATATTTCCTGTCATATGATATCATTGGTAACTGTGCTTGAGAGTGATGTCTGTTTTACCATTGATAGGTTCAATGGGCTAAAAATGCTGGTTGTCACGTGATTGGTACATGCTCAAGTGATGAAAAAGTAGATTTTTTAAAGGTAAGATATGTATATAAGTTCTCTTGTCTGGACGAATTGTTCTATTTCTGTAAATGTGTATGTGCCCAAGATGATTTTTAAAAAGATATAAAAGTCATTTCAAAAACAGTCAGAAACACCTGACGTCCTTGTAAAAGTCACCTTTCCACAATATGGATGGAGGAGCATAAGTGTATTATAAAAATAGGGAGGGAAAAGTCAGTTCAAGATGTTATAACATAAAACTTGATTTTAGAGTATTGGTTGTGATAGACCTATCAATTATAAAACTACATTGTATTATAGAGTATTGGTTGTGATTGACCTATTATCAATAATAAAACTACATTGTAGTATAGAGTATGGTTGTGATTGACCTATCAATAATAAAGCTTTACATTGTATTATAGAGTATAGAGTATTGGTTGTGATGGACCTATTGTCTATAAACCTGATTGTACATTATATTATATAGTATTTGGCTGTGATTGACCATGAATTAAAAAACTGTACATTGTATTATAGAGTATAGAGTATTGGTTGTGATGGACCTATTGTCTATAAACCTGATTGTACATTATATTATATAGTATTTGGCTGTGATTGACCATCAATTAAAAAACTGTACATTGTATTATAGAGTGTTGGTTGTGATCGACCTATTGTCTATGAACCTGATTGTACATTATATTATGTAGTATTTGGCTGTGATTGACCATCAATTATAAAACTGTACATTGTATTATAGAGTATTGGTTGTGATCGACCTATCAATTATAAAACTGAAGTATTAAAAGATGTTCTGAAAGCTGAATATCCTGTAAGTTTGTCTTGTATTTTAATTTGTGTTCTTATCCAAATGCTTGAAGGGGAGATAACATTGAATGTCCAATTTTGAGTTGCATTATGTAGCAAAAGTAACTAACTTATATGGGAATTAGATATCAATATTCTGAATATTTTAGTTGGAATTGATATAAGTTTCAATGAATATGTGACTAAAATTGTGTTTTTAGAAAGGTATAGATGTTATATATGAATCTATTGGTGGAGAAATGTTCGATACGTGTGTAAACAGGTTAGTTATTCTTGTCGATAAATAAACTTCAATAACTGTTAAAGGTAGACTTAATACCTGATATGTGTATAATCTATAATCTATATTTATTATTTCAGCTTATTGGGAATCTATTATGTATATTTATTACTTCAGTCTATTGGGTATCTATAATCTATATTTATTATTTCATTCTATTGGGTATATATCTGTAATCTAAATTTATTATTTCAGTCTATTTGGTGTATATCTCCAATCTATGTTTATTATTTGGGTATCTATAATATTTAATGTATATTTATTATTTCAGTTTATTGGGAATCTATTATCTATAATAGTCTAATGGGTATATATCTTTAATGTATATTTATTATTTCAGTTTATGGGTATCTATAATCTATATTTATTATTTCAGTCTATCTATAATCTGTATTTATTATTTCAGTCTTATGGGTATACATCTATAATGTATATTTATTATTTCAGTCTATCTATAATCTATATTTATTATTTCAGTTTATTGGGAATCTATAATGTATATTTATTTTTTCAGTCTATCAATAATCTGTATTTATTATTTCAGTTTATTGGGAATCTATTATCTGTATTTAGTATTTCAGTCGATCTATAATCTATATTTATTATTTCAGTTTATTGGGAATCTATAATGTATATTTATTTTTTCAGTCTATCTATAATCTATATTTATTGTTTCAGTCTATTTGGTATCTATAATCTGTATTTATTATTTTCAGTCTATATATAATGTATATTTATTATTTCAGTTGATTGGGAATCTATTATCTATATTTATTATTTCAGTGTATCTATAATCTATATTTATTATTTCAGTTTATTGGGCATCTATTATCTTTATTTATTATTTCAGTTTATTGGGAATTTATTATCTTTATTTATTATTTCAGTCTATCTATAATGTATATTTATTATTTCAGTTTATTGGGAATCTATTATCTTTATTTATTATTTCAGTCTATCTATAATGTATATTTATTATTTCAGTTTATTGGGAATTTATTATCTTTATTTATTATTTTAGTCTATCTATAATGTATATTTATTATTTCAGTTTATTGGGAATTTATTATCTTTATTTATTATTTTAGTCTATCTATAATGTATATTTATTATTTCAGTTTATTGGGAATCTATTATCTTTATTTATATTATTTCAGTCAATCTATAATGTATATTTATTATTTCAGTTTATTGGGAATTTATTATCTTTATTTATTATTTTAGTCTATCTACAATGTATATTTATTACTTCAGTTTATTGGGAATTTATTATCTTTATTTATTATTTTAGTCTATCTATAATGTATATTTATTATTTCAGTTTATTGGGAATCTATTATCTTTATTTATTATTTCAGTCTATCTATACTCTATATTTATTATTTCAGTCTATTGGGTATCTATAATCTATATATATTATTTCAGTCTAATGGGTATATATCTATAATCTATATTTATTATTTCAGTTTATTGGGAATCTCTTATCTATATTTATTATTTCAGTCTATCTATTATCTGTATTTATTATTTCAGTTTATTGGGTATCTATAATCTATATTTATTATTTCAGTTTATTGGGTATCTATAATCTATATTTATTATTTCAGTCTAGCAGTTAAGGGTAGACTAATTATTATTGGGTATATATCAGGATATGAAACACAAAAAGGTTTTACACCATCCAGATTAGCAACTTTACCTCAAAAGGTCAGTTATAGAGTTTGGTGAACTTTCTTTAAATTTCAGCTCTGTTCACGGCAGGTTAATGCCTTTGAATTTTATATCCTACTTTTCTGCGTCCAGATCTGCTATTAAAGACAGAAAATGTCTTGGAGTGTGCAATGAGGAGAATTTTTCTAAACTGGTATTGGTTAACCCTTTTTTATTCTCATTTGTCAAGAAAGCTTTACTGACTTAAAGGGATTGTAAAGATTTTTTCTAACATTTTTATGTGTATCAGGGACATTGATAGCATCAATTTGCACTATTCCAATTTTTCATCAGATGTTTATGGTTCCTGCAATCCCACTAAAACTAAGTGATTGATGACGTCACTAATCTTGAAAGCCTAATATGATCAGCATATTTCGTGATTAGTGATGTCATCAAACACTAAGTTTTAGTGGAGTAACAGGAACCACAGACATCTGATGAAAAATTGGAATAGTGCAAATAGATGCTATCAATGTCCCCGATCTACATAACAAATTTAGAAAACCTCTTTACAATCCCTTTAATGCCATTGATAATTAATGCCTATAAGGTATATGTGTTTGTATTTCTCTAGCTCCTACCTATATCAGCCAGTGTAAGAGGGTTTTTCCTATTTAACTGGAGTAAAGATTATAGTGAATATATGATGAAATTAATACAGTTATTAGCTGAAAATAAAATAATGAGTGTAGTAGATAATGGGCAATCAGTTAAACCTGGTGGTTTTAAAGGTCTAGATGATATATCTGACGCCATAGAGGTGAGTTTTTGGTAGTAACTGAATTTAGTAGCGGCTCCAAATATTACAATTTTTTTTTAGTGGAAATGCACATTTTTTTTATTGTAGAAATGTAATTAAATTGATAAAAGCTCTCAAATTGCATAAAAATGCATGATTTAACCTCTTTATTCACAAAAAATTTTCTCCCCTGCCTAACCCCTAGAATGGAATCGAAAAAAATTCCTAAGTTCTGCAGTTGCCACTTATTGCCTGCTACAGTGCTTGTGTACTTAAATTCTCATTTCAAACAACAACAGCAATAACCCATATTCAATATAGTGTAGTGGACTTTGGGGCTTTTCTTAAAGATGGGTTTCCCGATTTTTTAGTGTCAAATTAAGCAAACTATTTGATTAATTGGTGTTTCTAATGAATTATCATGTATTCTTAATCATATCATTATGTTCTTATTGTATATAATTAAGTGTTTTAACCAATCATTACTGTCCGTGTATGTACAGTCTGGATAAACAAAAAAAAACTTTTTGACCTTTTTTGATCGGTCACTCATTAGCTCATAATGAATTAGTAATGGACATGTGAGTCAAACTGGTATTTTTCCAAGTCATTAGAACACCTCTACTTTCTATTAATTTAAGCATTTTCATTTTCATAAATGAAAATAAGGGAACCCATCTTTAATTTCTTTTTGAGTAATTATTAACAAGTTTGGTCAAAATTCCATAAGGATTGTTTTTTTTATCTTCCAGTACATGTACAGTGGTAAAAATAAAGGTAAAATAGTAGTTGAAATACCTGAAAAGCTCAACAGTCAGCTATAAAGCAGTAGTAAATAATACCAAACAATATCTATAGAAATAAAAATGGTGCCAAAAATTAGTTTGCTCTATACAATTACGCAAGTTTGTTTTTCGAATAATTAACAGAATAAGTGCCTTGTGTTTTAATGGTTGGTTTTACACTTTATGATCAAATTTAGAACACTTTTTATTTGAATAATTTGTTTCAAGGAATGATAAGCATTCATTCCTTATATGGATATAACTTCAAAATTGTTTGTATTCAAGAACATCATTATAATAAGAATGATAATCATTGTGATTCCTGTCAATCATTTGTTTCTTTAATTCATTTACCCTTTTTTGGCATTAAGGGGTGTGTCATGATTTCTGTTAAGGTGTAGGAGGTCATATCCATATTACTCATAGTTGTACATGTAATTATAATGGTGTAAATATATTTTGTTAAAATTTAATTTGTATTAAAAATTGTGAATTAATAGACATCCTTTTTTTTCTACATAGAAATATTCCTAGAAATAGCTAATATTGGTCTTAATTCATTTTTGTTCATCCGTGCATTAGTGACTAAGGTTATATAATTATGATAAATATTACCATTTTGGATCTGGTTTTATCTATATACCAATCTATGGTCTGAGCAAAGTAACAAATTTTTTGAATTTTCTCTTATATTTTATGAGAATTGGAATAACAGTCTTAAAATAGTATTGATAGTCTTAGAATGAATTTGTGTTGATAAAAATATAATTGTGTGTAAATTTACATTGAAAAGAACCATATTTCTCTTCTAAAAATTTCAACCCAAAAGTCAAAAATTTTGGCTGAAAATTGTCCTTTAGGCTCTGTGAAATGATTTAGCTTTAGCATTGGCATTTATGGTTTAAAGAGAATTCCATCGTTCAAAGATTTAAATTAATGAGATGAAAGTTATATATAAGATCTTTGCGAAATTCAATTTATTGAATGATATGTTCAGATGAATTTTACCTACGCACATATCTGAGAAACGACAGGTTAAGTCCATTTTCTTGCTGTTGATCATCACATAGGCTATTCATTCATATGACATCGCCATCATATTCAATGGATAACGTAATTTGTGTTATGAAAATCGCTTTCAGTGTCCCAAATACGAGGCGTTAATAAGGTTTATAATACAGCAAAAATATCAAAACAAGTCTGATTCAAGCCATAATCACACGTAAACTGGATAATAAATAAATGCATATTGTCCAACAGAAAAAATCAGAATCAGGGAAAGGATGCAAATAATGTTACTGAGCAGTTTCAATAAATATGTTCTATCAACTTTATTATTATCATTGATATATCCTGCATGCATTTCTTCAATTTAAAGGGACAGGTCTGCCATTATTTTTTACCAATCATACTTTAGTCTCAAATTTTTTTTAGCTGAGCCAATCAGTAATAATCACACACCGTCAAAATCTGAGCCTTCAAATCCATGTGTGTCCAGATTTATTTGCGTTTGAATGTTAAAATGACGACTCGTCAATTTAAGATACTCTGTGATATATAGATAAGACATAAATAGAAATAGTGAGTAAAATTCCTAGTTTGAGATATTCTTAAGGAATTATGCGATTTTTGTACATTTCTAGTACTTCTGAAGACTATTTATATATGTTCAAGACTAATATCAACCCCCCAAAATGGCGCACCTGTCCCTTTGACATAAAAAGCTTGGTGTACATAGATTCTAAAACTACAAATTTTAATAAAAATTGCCATAAACTGCTCACAATTCAATCTGGACTTCATTAATGACATATTTACAGGTGAGGTGTCCACACCTGCACAGTTGGTAAAACAAGAAATAATTTGGCAGTTTTTAGAACTGCAAGAGTTCCTGGAGAGTCTTCTTCACAAAGTCAAGCTATTACGATTTACTTATACCTTGACTGTAATAGTTATCTTTCTTGTATCATGGATTGTAAGCTAGCGAATACAGCCAATCAGAGTCCTCGAAAAAAAAAGGCAGTGAACACAAATCCACAAGGTTTACAGCCTTTCTGTCAAGAACTCTTATTGGCTGTATACAGTGGTGTACAATCCAATCAAATCGCTGCATTCAGTGATACAAGTATAGTGGCTATTGCAGTCAAGGTATAAGTATGAAGTTCATAATAGCTTGACATTGTGAATATGTGGGAGAGCAAGCATACTATGTCTTGCTATTAGATATTCATTTCATTGGAGCACACAGTGTTCAAATTATGAAGTAAAATGACTAACACACTGTCAGGAGTTGGCTTCTTGTTGTTGTTGTTTAGTTTTAGTAGATTCTTGTTTGGCTGCTTGCTGATCTTTTAAAAACTGCATGACTTCCGGAGACTTCATCAAAGCCTGAAATAATAATAACTGGGATTGTAAAAATTGTCTAGACACCCTAGATACAACACAGGCAATTTAAAGGGATTGTAAAAGGTTTTCCTAAAGATGGGTTTCCTTATTTTTTAGTGTCAAATTAAGCAAACTATTTGATTAATTTGTGTTTCTTATGAATTATCATGTATTCTTAATCATATCATTATGTTCTTATTGCATTTAATTAAGAGTTTTGACCAATCATAAATTTCATAGGAATTCTGCTGGTAATTCTTTTCTATTTTAGCTAATTATGAATTAATTATAGATATGTGAGACAAACTGGTATTTTTCAAGTCATTAGAACACCTCTACTTTCTATTCATATAAGTATTAGCATTTTCATATATGAAAATACGGGAACCCATCTTTAACCATGCAGTCTAAGCTTTATTTTTCTTAAAGAAGTTAATAATGTGTAAAATTGTTTGATGACATCACTAAATATGCTTGTCATCAAACACTTAGTTTCAATGGAAATGGAACAATCCAATCAAATTGCTCCATTTACAAACTTGTGATACAAGAAAGGTGGCTATTGTAGTCAAGGTATAAGACAAAGTTCCTCATAGCTAGACATTGCTTTAAGGAATGAGAGTGAACCTACCATTTTTTTTTCTGTAAGAACCTCATCTAATAAGCTCAGTTTAAAAGTATTATCAACAGGATGTATATCACTGGTAAATATTGGTAAACCTTCACGGCATGGTGAGACATTAAAATCACCCTACAAAATAATAACATACAAATTACAAACTGGAGTTACATTCTACAGCTCTACAGATTGTGATAGTGGAATTGGCAAATGAGGGTATTTTTAATAGGACAGACAAAAGTATTTGTGGGCTTATTTCAATTTCCACAGTCAAATGAAATGAATTGCATCCTACTTTACCGGATAATGAAGGTGGGAGGCGCCATGCATGGTGCAATGAGGGAAATTATGCCAGTACAGCAGCATTAGCCTGATCTTTTTCGATTTCCAGTGGGGTCACTTTTTTTTGTCCAATCCAAACGGCAAGACCCCTTTGCCATGTCAGCCCCTCTTACCTGCATCACTGACAGGGGGAAACCAGATTGAAATATCTAAAGGTATTATATGTAGACCTATGCTGGGATTGAACCCTGGTCAGTGAAGAAGCTTCTAAGTCACTGAGCCACCACATCTCTCAATTTCCACAGACAAAGGCTCTTCAAAGTTCACAGTCTAAAGCAGGCATTGTCTTATCCAAACCATGGATCATTTCTTGACTGAGGTCTTAGGTCTTAAAGATATAAAACAAGTTCAACCTTACCTCACTTCGACTGTGTCTGCCTTGGCTACTAGAAGGCGTTTTAGATTGTCTCCCTTTCCGTGAGCTACTTGATTTCTCACTACCACGACCAGTACTGGAACCAGCTCTCTGTCTTGAGCTACTTTTTCTTTGGGCCTTTTTCTTACCCTCAGTTTGACAGGTCAATTGTCCATTCATTTGAGTTTGTGAATTATTTTGAGAAAAATCTCCACTGTGCACTGAATTGTTTGTTTCAAGTTTATAGTGGTCAACGCCATCTTGGAATAATTGTCTCATTTCTTCCTCGTCACAATCCGAGATATTAATTATATCTTCAGCCATTTTGCAGAAGTAAATACACTGCTACTGAAATACAGAAAAAGTTATTTGTGGTACTGATTATGGAGTTTTAACAAGAGTTACCACCCTTTGTCCATTTTGGGTTTTCAGCAACAGAGATTGACTTTAATAAGATACATAATATATTGAAGAATGCTTTGAAATTTCTCAATTTGCGGAAGCAGTCTCCTTATTTTAAATTTCAAAAAAGTTTAGAAACAACAGTGAACAAATTATTTCCTTAAAGTTGGGTTTCCTTATTTTTTTAGTGTCAAATTAAGTGAACTTCATTAATTGGTGTTTGTAATGAATTAGCATGTATTCTTAATCACAACATTATGTTCTTATTGCATATAATTAAGAGTTTTAACCAATCATAAATGCCCACATATGAACAGTCTGGATAAACAAATAAAAAAATTTATTTTTTGACCTTTCTTGATCATTAGAATTCTGCTAGAAATTCTCTTCTAATTTAGCTAATTATGAATTACTTATAGACATGTGAGACAAACTGGTATTTTTCCAAGTCATTAGAACACCTCTACATTTAATTCATTTAAGTATTTGCTTGTTCATTTTCATTAATGAAAATAAGGGAACCCATCATTAACTAATCATCTATAGGTTAGGTCATGTGAACATTTTATAAAATTTTATGGAATGGAAATACCCATCTTCACAATATCAAGCTGTTATGAACTTAATAAGTCTAACAACTTGACAACATCAGACACTTCTATTCATTGCATATCTGTAAACGAACCAATTTGATTGGATTGTACGCTACCAAATAGAGCCAATCGGAGCCCTTGAGAAAAAGATTGTATACAAAATAGATGCACGTACAACTACGATGCATTGTGAATTATTTTTGTGCTTTCTAACAAGGCATTTGATTGGCTTTACATATCCAAAACCATCTAGGGAGAAAATAAAAATCATTTATTGTCAACAAGTGGGCTACCTTCCAATTTTTTCAACCAAGAAAAGTGACTTATGATGTCAAGGTATAAGACAGAGTTTCTAATAACTTGACATTGTGAGATTTGATAAGATAGGAAATACCAGATTACATTAAATCAACAACTACAAAAGAATAGTTAGTCCTATGGGTTTTTTATGAGCATAAAATATTCATGAATATGACATTAATGACAAAAAGAGATCTCGGTCTACATCAAGCCTGTACCTTGACGGGATAGGTACAAAAAGCATAACATAATAATATAATATCACACTATCAATATGAGTCAAGTAGAAGCTCATAAATAATAATAACTCAATAGGAAACTTGAAGAGAAATTTAATATGCTTCATGATTGAATTAGAATGAATTTTCACTACTTGATCAATAGCCACTGTGAACATCAGGGTACATCTTTGCAGTTTTATACCTTGACTGCAATAACTACTTTTCTTGTTTCACACAATACAATGATTTGATTGGATTGTATGCCAGAGAATATAGCCAATCAGAGCATAAACCTTATGGTTTATAGTTAACAATCTTTCTGGAAAAGGACTCTGATTGGATTATTCACTAGAATACAATCCAATCAAATTGCTACATTGAGAAACTACCATAATAAAAGAAATGTGGCTTTTGAAGTCTTGACGCTTTGAATATGATCAGGGTATGACTCTAAATATCAACATGAGCAGTACATATTATTGAGAGGTAGAACTAATATTGAAAACAACTGTACCACTTAACTATATTGTGTTGATAACTACTTGAACTACCTTAAAAAAAAGATAGTGGACCACAGCCATATATGCCCACCACAGCATGCGGATGGTAAATATTCAAGATTTTGGGGCAAGGGCAATAACTCTGCTTCTAACGATCGAAAATAGCTCAAATTCGAAATTCATTTTATGTATGTGTATACACATACCAAATTTCATTTGATTCCATCAAAAAATCTAGTTTTTAGAGCGTTTACAAGCAAATGTTGACGGACGGACGGACGGGCAGGGGTGCCGACAATATACTTCCACATAGAGAGATGTGGGCGTACAAAAATAGACTGGTCATGTTTATATTTTCGATCTGACCCTAAAGATTATGAATAACTTTGCTCAATATGCTGGATTTAAAATTTCCAAATTATTTGAAATAACAAGATTTTTTTTTTAGACAAAATATATGTGAAATGCATACACTCTTCGGTCTTCAATTTGCAAAGTTCCGATTTGCCATGTTTTCTGTTACTAGAGAAAAGCATGATCAGATTATGACACAAAAATTGCTAATATCCAACCAAACCAAACATTTCCTGCATATATTGACATCAATATCTTGAAAAGTTTCTCTGGAATTACAGGAATCCTCAGAAAATCAAAAAAAAAATCTGTTGAGTTGCATTATAATCAGACTGCAATTCTCTCTAAAAACTACATGAGGCATGCCTTATTTCAGGTAAGGATCTAGCATATCATATGAAGTAGATAAAAATCTTACCAAGTTTGCCCTGAGTTTGTATTACTAGTGTTATATCTATCAATTTATGCCAAAGCTAATTCCTTCTTCACTGGAGGTACAACTTCTTCACTGGAAGAAAAATCTTCCTGAAAGAATAAAATCAATTCAAATGGATAAGACTTAAGTCTAATTACAATCATGGAAGTGTATATAGGACACAGGTGCCTCTAATTGAGTGCTTCTCAACAGGGCAGGAATCCCTCGCCAAGGAAGGAATTGGAAAGAATATGGGGAAGAATTATTGCCAAGGGAGGAAATGGGGAGGAATCGTTAGACCAAAGAGGCAAGGTAAGCTACAACTGAAATTTACATCAGTTACCCTGGACATAAAGAAAATTGTGAACCCTAGGGTCACATTGAAACATTAGGCCATAGAGTAACATTGAAACATTCGGCCCTAGGATCACATTGAAACAATGGCCCAAAGGTGACATTGAAACAATCATCCCTAGGGTCACATTGAAACATTCGGCCATGGGATCACATTGAAACATTCGGCCCTAGGGTCACATAGAAACAATCGGCCCTAGGGTCATATTGAAACATTCGGCCCTAGGGTCACTTTGAAACATTCGCCCCAGAGTCACGTTGAAACATACAGCCCTACGGTCACATTAAAATATTCGGCCCTAGTATCACATTGAAACATTCGGCCCTGGGATCACATTGAACTATCTCGATATGTGGAGTATGATTTTATATCAATTCATGGTTAATCGTTGAATACATTATTCGAGTATAGTACGTTTCAAAATGACTGATTTTTGTAGGGAAAAAATAGATTTGGAAGATCTCTTCTGGGGAAGAATGATCTCACTGACGTTGAGATGCTTTGCTCTAGTCGATTTCATATGAAACAAATATTTATCAGTATCAACAGACAAATAATACACGAAAATAAAACTTCTTTAGAATGAACAAAATCTAACATAAGTTAGCAACTATTGAAATTAGATTACAATTTCGTATCTTTTTTGCTTTCTGATATTATTTAGTCCAGATGGTAATCTAACAAGCTCTACCAAAGGTCCGTCCGAATGGTAGTATTTTTTAACTAATCAAAGCATAGAAGCTGTTTCTTAATAGAATAAGGAATTGTTGGATATCTTAGACTCTTTGGGTTTCCCATAATTCCTTGTTATAAAAAAACTTTGATTGGTTGAAAATTCTACCTCTGGGACAGGCCTTTGCTAGAAAACTATTCAGATTACAATGTAGACTAAAAATATAACAAAATAAAAAAGATACGAAATTGCAATTTAATTTCAATTTGATTTAGAGTCTGTAAGACATGAGAGGAGTCTGCAGAAACTACCAGTATATCATAAAAGATCAACTTACTGGATCATAAATTACTTTGATTAATAAAGAACAACTTGGGCATTTTGCAACATCTTCACCATTTTCTAATTCTTCCTGTAAAAACAATGAGTGAGTGAAGATAGATCTAGGCTGGGAACAAAATGTTATGAAACATAAATAATATATGTATAATGTACCCAGGGTACAAAACAATAGTACCCCAATCGAGAAGTTTTACGTCCTACTTATCCCTGTAAGTAGAGTATAGCACATGCTATCCAGCTGACAATGACGCGCAAGGATGTTTTGAATGATAACTTAAAAGTTATTTGATAATTAAAACTGTCAAAATCTTCCAAATTCCAAATCATTATCTATTTATGATGAAACTTAATGAAATATTATTGGAGTTTCAATTCAAATTAAAATGCAAGTTTCTATGTAATAGTTAGAAGAATAAACCTGATGACAGAAATATCACTGATCAGAGTCAACTAATTCTCGACTCGTGTTGAATGATCATAATACAAAAGCCCTGATTATTTTACAATAATAACAAATCATAAATAATAAACACAACATCACAAGTGATAAAACCATTCAAAAAATGAATTATACCTTAGAAATTTCAAATTTATCACCACAAGGACATGGATAATAATATGTTTCGGTTTCTTCGTCATATTCCATGTCCTCAATTTCTATTTCATCGTGATATATTGACATAATGATAATGAATGACTAAAACCATATTTTTCTTCAACACGTGAACGCCATTTTAGCGGAAGTCGGATTTGAGTTATCTGCCCCTGTTTTTTTTTGTCTAAACGCCCAATATACTCGGACAGTTCGCCCCAATCAAACCTACTTCGCCCCATTAAGAGATCCAAGGACATAGGCTTTTACTAATTATCAATTTTATGAAAATGGAAGCGCGCTTCGTTATCTCTCAAACCAAATTCATATTTAGAAACTCCCTTTCACCATTTGACAGTATTGTTTGCTTACAGCCAAGATTTGCTTGATTCCAAATGAGATTTTTTTTATAAATTGTTATTTTTTGATCGCAAATCATCCGCCTATCATGTCAAACTAGCTTTAATGACTGTGATTTACACAATGGAACAATTCTTTAGTACAAATGGATACAAACGTTCTGAATAAGGGATAATATGTACGGCCCTTTAGTCATTTGAATAAATTTTAAATTTTGTTATCATTACCTCTGAAGACTATTCAATCGGATCATAATTGACTCTTCTCACGGCATAATCAAGACTGATCGGATTTCATTCTTTTGTGTGGTCTATTCATTATTACTAACAAAATCTAAGGCGTTCCTTGATCCTTATTCATATTACTTAAGATCTTGAAGCCTTAAATATCAAATTTGTATGGGACTAATAATGTTATCTTTTAGTCCGCCTATTTTTAGAAATTATTCAAATATATCATCTGATTAGGCTATAGCACTATATTCAATAACTATTTGTATTCCGTGCGACCAAAAGAGGTTAGTCCGAAAATCTGTTCAAGTAAAAGGCTTTTTAATTCTATTGAGTGGGTATACTTACTTAAGGGTCATAGTTTGTCATTTTCGGGGGTTGATTTAGGTGTTAATAGTCTTTAGAACTACTAGACACAAAAGGAAATCGCATAATTCCTTCAAATATACTTCTAACTAGAAATTTCACTTTCTTTATCTATATGTCATTTTATATGGCGGAGTATTAAGAAAAGAAGAGTCGTCATTTTATCTTTCAAAAACTATACTAGAAACAACCAAGAATCGCATAATCCCTACCAATATAATTCTATTTAGAAATTTCACTTTCTTTATCTATGTAATATGTCCTTTTATATGGCAGAGTATTAAGAAAAGAGGAGTCGTCATTTTAACTTTCAGACACGGATTCAAAGTATTCAAATAAGATTTCCCGGAGCATCCAATTCCAAATTGTACTGTCACTAGCTTCAATTATATAAGCCATTACTTATTTTATATTTTTTAGTGTCAAATTAAGCAAACTATTTGATTAATTGTTGTTTCTAATGAATTATCGTGTATTCTTAATCATATCATTATGTTCTTATTGTATGTAATTAAGAGTTATAACCAATCATAAATGTCCATGTATGTACAGTATGGATCACAACAAAAAAAAGACTTTTTGACCTTTTTTGATCGGTCACTCATTGGAATTCTTCGGGTAATTCTCTTCTAATTTAGTTAATTATGAATTAATTATGGACATATGAGACAAACTGGTATTATTCCAAGTCTTAGAACACCTCTACTTTCTATTCATAAGATTATTAGCATTTTCATCTTTAATGGACTTCAATATCAATATTGGGATGATATTGTAATTGTTTTTCAGGTTGCGGTTTTGTTTTATGTGCTTTTTGTCGGACTACAGTGTAGCTTTGGTCTAATGTGAGTTTTTATAATCATTGAATTGACCTTCAACATTACAACTACTCGAGTTTGGCCAACTCCACCCTAAACAAGGATACCTAATACCTTTTTATTTCCTCAATCTGTACACTCCAGTGCTCTGTGCCGTTTCTCTTTAAAATTCGCCCTCTAGTGTCCATCACACGATAACGGCGACCTACTGACTATAGATCCCATTGTTCAGGCCTTACAAAATATTTGCTTTTAATCCCTTAATGATGTTTGATTAATTCGTGCAAGTTACTTTTTGATCTCTCGTGCCAGTCATTTGATTGTTAAAAGGACCTCTAATGAACTGAAGCGAAATGGAGTTTTACATCCTACAGGGGGGCATCGCACCCTGAAACTAAACAGATTTGATCAGTATAAGTAGCTTTGCTAGGCATTTCCCGTGTAGAAATCTTCTCGCCAGGGCGAGCAATTAAATGAATTAGTTTTCATACGGTCATTTAGCAATCACTTGGACTTGAAAAAGAAGGCATTTGCCTATTACATCAAGGGTTGAAATGTATAGCAGGCTCCAATTCCTTCAAAAATCAATATGCCAAAGCCTTCAGTTCGTTTCAATCAAACTTTGGTTCTCAGTTAAGAAAAAATGAAATGAAATGAATGGAGTTTTACGTTCTGCTCTTCTGCACCATGTGGGCTAATGAAGACGGGCAACGCCATGCAGGGTACAATGAGGGAAATTTTGCCAGGACAGCGGCATTAGCCTGGTCTTTTTCGACTTCCAACTGTCGAGGGATCTTTAACGGGCATAGCCTATAGCACACGGGGCCTCGGTTTATTGTCCCCTCCGAACAACTAGACGCTTTTTCCAGGGGGAAAACTGGGTTGAAAAATCCGAAGGTTTTATCTCGACCTATGCCGGGATTGAACCCTGGACCTTCAGGATAGCGAGCAAGCGTCTAACTCACTAAGCCACCGCGGCTCCCGGTTCTCACTTAAGAGGCTCTGCAATTTTTTCAAAGGATGGTTAACAATTAGTGTCTTCCAATTTCTCTAGCACTGGTGAATATTTTAACTATTCCACTACAATTCATAATCTATGACGCCATTTGGTCGCAGTAATGTTACAAATCTCCCAAAATCAATTTTCAAACGACCTTCACAAAGAGTAGAAAAATGTCGAAAGCAAAGGTTAGATGGTCCACAAAGACAACATTAGTAATAGAAAAAGGGTAAAAATGTAACAAGTTTTAGTTACTAAATCATTGATGTAATGACTACACATTCTACTGTTGAGTTACATCAGTACTTTTGTTAAAGTTGGGGTCCTTGTACTTTCGAACATATTTTTTGTTATGGTGTCTGTGGTTTGCCATTAACATACAGACTGCTGGTGTTCATAAAGCAAAAATGTGTAATTATTACATTCTGATCCGTCGCATGCCCTCTCTCTCCCCCTATTGCTCCGCCACTGTTAAGTATTACAGCAATTCATCGAAACCATGCGTTACCACATCTTCACTATTACGTACTGCGTCTAATACCTTGACTGCAATAGCCATGGTTTTGTATCACGAAATGCAATGATTTCATTGGATTGTACATCAGCAAATACACCCAATTATAAACTGTAAATATAATGGCTGATTGTTTACAGAATTTCTGTCGAGGTCTCTGATTGGCTGTATTGGCTAACATATAATCCAATCATATCGCTGCATTAACAAATTTCCGTGATACAAGAAAGGTGGATATTGTAGTCAAGGTATAAGACGTAGTTAGTAATAGCTTGACATTGTGAAGATTGCGTTACCACAGAAAAACCTCATGAATAACACCTACAGTTCTAAACTCTATTAATGCATTGTTCACTAGTAATAAGAAATCTTATATGTAAAATTTCAAAAAATTAAAAATATTTATATATAACGATGCAGCGAAGAGGAAAATGTTGACATCAAATTACAAAAATTTAATTTTGGGGTGTGCTATGCTCCATTAACTTGTAAATATGATTTTGGGGGCCGAACAAACTAGACTGTTTGTACTTGGTTCGAAATCCCAGCGGGGAATCGCGTGAAGAATGCTTTTTATCGGAATTTAAGCGTAAAGATGATATATTACTTCCTTTGATATCTATATCGTTTATTTAAACTCATTAAGGAAGGTGTCGTGTGCAAATTCTGTATGATTTTGAATTATTCTACCGCATTGACTCGACCGAAAGAATTCGTCTTTATCAACCTTCTTACAGCAACGTTATACGAAGTATTGAGAATATTAGATCTCAACCCTGAAACCATACCAATTATCCCAATAAGTCAGTCTAGCCCCTATTTGCCTACCCCAAAGATCCAGGAGGCTGACGCCACCACTGAGCAAGGCCAAAAAAATCCATCTTTAAGGCGCTCTGCACTATTTAGCGATGTTCCGTATGTTTGCGAATAATGAAAGTTGCGTTCGAAACCTATGACCGTTATCATAATTCGCAACCATACGCAAATGTTGATAGCTATGGTCTGAGGGTAGCATTAGAAAGTTTTTGCTGTTTTCTAAGTTGTCCATTTCACGAAAAAAAATGAAATGTAGGTTACTAGATAAGCTCTCTGTGGTCACAAACAATAGGTAACAGTTCACCAACCTTTGTCAATAAGCCCAAAGAATCTTTGCGAAAGTTCATAACAAGGTGATAATAATTCATGGACTATAATTACGGATTTATCAGTTTCGAACTGTTTGTTAGAAAAATAAGTACAGTCTTTATCATAATTATCTATAGATTTTCAGTATTTGGGTCATTTAAAGAGTACTTACTTAGATCGATATCAAATTTTTCATGTATCCGACATTAAGATGGATGGAAAGGGAAAAAATATATTTTAAAATGCCCCATTTCACCCTTCCACCAAAATGAAGCAATCAGATCAAAACCATATCGGGCGTGTGGTATTTCTGCTTGGATGTAGTAATTTTGCTGGGATGTGGTATTTCTGCTGGGATGCTGGGATGTGGTATTTCTGTTGGAATGCTGGGATGTGGTATTTCTGCTGGGATGCTGGAATATGGTATTTCTGCTGGGATGCTGGGATGTGGTATTTCTGCTGGGATGCTGGGATGTGGTATTTCTGCTGGGATGCTGGGATGTGGTAATTCTGCTGGGATGTGGTTTTTCTGCTGGGATGTGGTTTTTCTTCTCGGTCTCAACTACCAAACCAACAATGCCAATTCACCCAATTAATCCAGGTCCAACTACAACTACCAACAACTACCGTAATTGCTATATCAACTTCTGTAGGAAGCGGAGGTTAATCTACCAACCAACCATTTCTGCTGAGTGTCTGCTGGGATACTAAACACCCAATCCTCTC